AGCGCGTGGTTTGCTGCGAAACGAGCAAGGTCAATCACGTCGTATTCGGCCTTAACCGGGTCTCCGCGTGTAAGGATCAGTTGATGGCTTCTCGTAACGTTGTACGCGGTACACCAAGTGTTCATGCAATTCGCTCCTGGCTCTACCCTCATCAGATAAAGCTACACCTCTAGCAGCTCCAGCAGCATCCAAAGGCATTTTTTAAGCACAACCCACTAAAATCGACCTTAAGCAGTTGACTTCATCGATTTTAACTGATAAGGATAACAATTTCAATAATTTTAAGCTTCCAATATACCGATTCCAAATAACGCTAACTGTAGACTAATATTGAGGTAAAAGATTGACTGTAAGCTAGTTTGACTAGTCCATGATATAAAAAAAGCTCACAAATATAGTGTGGTATTAAAGTTAGCTTGCTACTCTCGAGAAATCGCCTTCTATTGTTCGCCAACACTTGAAAGTCGGAGGTCTGGAAATGATCTGCGCAAAGGACACTGTTTCTTGTGACCAAAGCCAAGTAAGTCTGTTATTACAAAAGTACTTCTATAATATAATATATTCTCTGATCTGTAGGAAACCTGCAATAAATAAATAAAAAACAATTGGTCGAAGTTCACAGTTAGTTATTTTAATATAACGTATTAATACTGTTACGAGCTTGCGGTTCGTGACAATAAAAACTGCCGATTGAATTACCAAAATTTACACTTTTATTGCCTAACACCAAATAAAACTTATAACACTAATAATTAACTACACTGATTCACTTTATTTCACTTCGAAGCTTCGCTTGTCCCGCCAAATTCAATACTGCTCCGACCGCGTCTTGCAGCGCCTTTAAATACACATTTTCCACCGAAACATCCAGAATATTCCGGGAGATACGGGCGCCATCCAACCAGACGCAGAAAGTTCGAGTGTAGGGCTTCTAGAAAGCTTAATTCTTCTGTTCGATACTAGATGGCACTGTTGGTCGAAAGATTAGTCATGTCATTTTCTGGAAAGCTCTCCTCGCTTTATTACCTGACACTAGATGGCGCTGGTTCCAGACGTCAACTTAGGCGCGCAACACTGCCTCCTCCTAAGAAATGCTCGTCCCGAGCATTATCGGCCCCATAACAATCCACATGGACTATATTAGGAGTCCCTCTTGCGCCTTTCTGTAACGGCTCCGCAATGTCAAGGGCTGTCCTATCCCATGGTGCACCAACATTGTATAATTTCGACGATCCTCTACTACGTGTACGAGGTCCCCTCACAGCCGCACAACTTGTACATGTGCGACACCAATCCTCGACATCGTCACGATAATGGACCCAATAAAACTATTCTCGGATCTTCAGTAGAGTTCGTTTAACTCCGAGATGGACTCCTGAACAACCATTATAGTATAGCTGTAGAACATCTAGCACTTTAGATTTAGGGACAACCATTTGCAAATGACAGCTGTCTCTTCGACCATTGTCCCATTTACGGCACAGGACTCCAGCCTGGATCAGCAAGCTATCCCATTGAGCCCAATAGCTTCTAGTGGTCGAACTCATCGCTGAGACGTCGCTGCACTTAGGCTTGGTTGCACGGGCCTTCATCCATTCCAGAATCGGCTTGATGACCGGATCTTCCTGCTGTGCATGTCGTAGGCTGTCCTTCCACTCGTTGCTGAGGTTGTCTGTCCTGAGCATCCTCACGGATACCACTTCCTTAGTCTCTTGCCTAGTACAATGTTTGCAATTTTCAGGACAAGGTCTTATTGACAATGCATCTGCGTTGCCATGAGATTTCCCGCTGCGATGTCTGATAGTAAAGTCGTATTCCTGCTGCTGCTGGGCGGTGATGTTAGCGGCACTTCCGTTCTGAGATTGTTCACCTTCCATTTCTAGGGGTCGCTGAGGGCAGCTGGATCGATGATGGCCCCTTTCCCCACAGCAATAGCACCTAGGGCTGTATCCTTTATTGTGGTCGCGAACCGTAACTGTTGCAACCTCCCACTAGCGTGAGGGGAACGATGATACTGCCACCGCCAGGCGGTGCCGTTAGCTGCACTACCCTCTCGAGATCGAACAACTTCCCTTTCTACAGTTCGATTAGGGCAGCTGGATCGAAGATGGCCCTTTTCTCCACAGCCATAGCACCTAAGGCTGTATCCTTTATTGCGGTTGCGAACTGTAGCTGCTGCAACCTCCCTGACGCGATGGGATCGATGATCCTGCTGCACGGCTTCCACCTCCAGTGCATGGGCCAAGGCGTCCTTAAGCGTCTCGTGGTGCTCGAGCCTCACAGTAGCTCTGACTTCCAGGTCGCGGATGCCGTCGATGAATGTCTGCACCAGGTTCCCTTTAATGAGCGCAGGTACAGACCGGTATGCTTTTCGCACCAGTTTCTCCACCTCTAGAGCTGCAGGTTTTCGTTGATGCGCTGCACGCGATCTTTAAGCTGCGCACGAAAGACGTGTTCCAGGTGAGCGTTGCCATATCTCGCCTCCAATGCCTCAAGAAGCTGCTCATAAGTCACTTCCTCACCGAGAGCTTCCAGAACTGTTAAGGCCTGGTCGCGCAGGCCTAGTGTAAGAGCAGTCATGGCCTGACTTTTATTCCAGCCGTTCGCCTTCATAACAGCCTCGAACTGGATTTTGTAGGCTGACCACGAAGAAGTCCCGTCGAACGATGGCACCTTGAACCTACGTAGCGAAGGTGTTGTAGCTACTACGGGAGCTGTAGTTCCATCTCCAAGTTTGAGTTCGTCCAGTGATTTCTTCATGTCAGCCATTACGTTGTCCACCCGATTGTTTACTTGGTCGATTCGGGTTTCAGCTTCTGACAGGCGGTTGTCATGTTGAGCAACCTTATCCTTCACCTCCCGTATCTCTTTTCCGAAGGTAGCGTGAAGGTCCTTCATGAGGAGCATCTGCTCTTCCAACCAACGGACCTGCTGCTCCTGTCGGCTGGCCTGTTCCTCCTGTCGGCGAGCCTGTTCCTGCAGCATCACCATCAGAGCACCTAAGTTGGGTGCTACAGATGTAGGAGCTACTGACGGGCCTGCAGCTGGTGGCTGGCCCTCCGACGTCTGCGGCGTCGCACCACCAAATCTTCTTTTGTCCGTCTCCTGCTGGCGTTGACTTCGGGTACGGACACCCTCCGTTTCCTCCTTAGGTAAAATCGGCATGATTTTATCCCTGATACTTCTGACACCAATTGTTACGAGCTTGCGGTTCGTGACAACAAAAACTGCCGATTGAATTACCAAAATTTACACTTTTATTGCCTAACACCAATTAAAACTTATAACACTAATAATTAACCACACTGATTCACTTTATTTCACTCCGAAGCTTCGCTTGTCTCGCCAAATTCAATACTGCCCCGATCGCGTCTTGCAGCGCCTTTAAATACACATTTTCCACCGAAACATCCAGAATATTCCGGTAGATACGGGTGCCGACCGACCAGACGCAGAAAGTTCGAGTGTAGGGCTTCTAGAAAGCTTAATTCTTCTGTTCGATACTAGATGGCGCTGTTGGTCGAAAGATTAGTCATGTCATTTTCTGGAAAGCTCTCCTCGGTTTGTTACCCAACATTAGATGGCGCTAGTGCCAGACGTCAACTTAGGCGCGCAACAATACTCTTAAATATTGTGTTATAATGTTTAACTTACATCAGTTAGTTTAATACTAAATTATACTATAATAAATATGCACGAGAGACACGGCTGTATAGACCATAAATGATTTTGTCATTTTATCGATAACTATTTGCAAAACGATATAACTATCAAGACTATCGCTTGGTCACAGTGACAAATCAGATATACTCGGATCAGTCGCTCGACCCAATGATATATTGTATGAAGGCGAGCGTCATGTGTTGGTAAACAAATCCGAAACAACACGACCGTTACTATGGAATGGAATATAAGGAATTTAATTTTTAAGATTAAGAAAAATTAATATCAGTAAGAATTACTTATATATATATATATATATATATATTATATATATATATATATATAAAATGTAATACCTACTATCTTTTTGTAAATTTGACTTGGCAGATTTCGCTTTGGCACAGGGGAACGCCTGCATATGGCTACTCCCGTACGGTAGGTCGTCGGCCCGTATTGCTTTATGACTTCAGGAGCTGGAAGTTAACATTTGATTCCATTATTTTTAAATTTAATTTTAATGTATCCGAACAGTCATCCTTTTGACTTTAATGTGTCTCTAACAGTGGTCTTTCAGATACGCACTGAGTTAGAAATATCTTTAGGAAAAAATCTTATGAATAGATGACAACTACAGAGCACAGATTATAATAAGAAGAACTCACATTTGTACACCTGATGATATACCTCAAACAAAATTCGATATAAAAGTAGACATTATCAATCGAAATGTTCATCATATAACATAGTTCATGAAACGATAGAGAAAGGTTTATAGCATGACCTTTCTGATTTGCTTGGCCGAGCACCCATTCTCACTGTAAATGCAAGTGAGGTACCATAATTCGCGGGTTTCCTTCCAAAGTCTTGCCGACGTGTACTGACTTTGCCCTGGCAATAACTTATCAAATTCAACTTAACCTCAAAAAAAAAACTATAATTATAACTTAACCAAAAAGGTAATATAATAATCATATGTAGGAAGTCAAAGTTTAAAACGACAAGAAATAATATAGTGGATACTATAAAATAAAGGGTAGTCCAATCATACAAAAATTATAGTATAATATTGAATAGAAGGTCAATAATAATTATTGTCAAGCTTTTTGAGTTCATCTAGTTTATTGCTAATGTTTTCAAACGAATCGGTAATGTGCCACATACCACAAATAATGAGTAAAAGTAAAACCGAGTAAAACAGTCACGCCTTGTGCTTGCAACGCACCGCACTACAGTCGATGTCGATCATAGACAACGTGTTTTGACAAAGTTTTCAGTGTGTTAAAAATGACGATTCTCGTATTTTAATTAAAATATAAATAAATCAGTGGTTTGTTAACATGACTGTGTGGAAAAAACTTGAAAATGAGGAATGCTACGCCGTTGGTAAGTACTTTATTTTATAAAACCTTACGGTTGTATTGAGTTCAGGAGTTATCAAATTATTCGATAAAGTTTCCTAATCATTTGTAGAACTTCCCTCCCGCCGAGTTGTAGATAAATATAAACATTGTCTCACTGTCCATTCTACTATCAGTTCCATCCTGGTAGAAATTTATTGGGATTTTATGTAATATCTTTTTAAATTTTAATGAATCGGATGACCACTCCCTATGGTGTATGAATAAAGTATAACGCTCTGATATGTGATTTATAACTTCTATTGGAATTTGCGCGGGTTACTATGTTAATTTAAGTGACTTTTTCACATGATCATTTAGATTAGATTTTTTTATCAGATAACACTATTTAATGAACTGTTTAATAAAATATATAAAAACCCATAAGCCATTATTGCTTTGCAATTCATAGATTTGAAAATTTTGTTCTTAATATTATAAGATTGTAAACAAATAACTGCACCAAATCTAATTTTTTAATAGTCGTATGTTTTACTTTTTCATTGCTGAATAGTTTACTACAAGTAAATTTATTATTATAAGATAAATAAGAAATGAAGCTATTATGTTATTATTTACTAATGTAAAATGCTACTTATAAGTTGCCTTACTCCAGAACTGATTGAGAAAAGTCAGTGGACCAATATATTAAGAAACCTTATAATATTTTAAAAGTAGTTGTTTTAATATACAAAGTCAGTTTATGTGTACCCGGTAAAGGCTCAATCTTTATCCTTATTAAATAAACAGCTTACAATCTGTGACTTTGTCTGAGTAAAACTTAAAAATAACTTATAAATGAAATACTTGCAGATATATATATATATATAATATATATATATATATATATATATATATATATATATATATCTGCAATTATATGTAATGTATATGCCCAAAGACCACAATTGTATATATATACATACACAATGTGTCTGTGGTCTTTGGGCATGCAGTTTAATGATCAATAAACCTACTTGAAACTCAGTTTTTGGAGATTACCATGAAAACTATGTGCAATTTAGGTGTAAAACTATAAGTCATAATACAGTGAACCCCCGGTAATCCAGCCCCTGTCCAATCCGGCACCCCTGTAATCCGACATAGCCTATTATTTATTATTGAATATTTTTTTGACAATCTTCACTAATGCATGATTGAAGAAGTTATAACGTATACACCCCATCACTATTGTGCATGACGCGTAGGGTATTGTTTTGATTCTGATTGAAAAATTTGATTCTTAAAATGATTGAAAGATCATAATTTTCCTCAAAAAGCGTTATTAATTTTTGATAATGCTCTTAAATTGATTGATTCATAATTTTTGATTATTTTAGTATGTACATTTGTTTGTATACAATCATTTCCTAATGTAAAGTTATTGCATACTTTTTGTAAGTAAAGGCAAAGGAGTATAAGGTTCACCTGACGTTAAGTGACTACCGCCGACCATGAACAACTGCAACACCAGGAAAATTGCAGGTGTATTGCCGGCCTAATAGAAAGGAGTAAACTTTTTTTTTTAAGGTCCCCAGGTCGTATCAGTTCTATAGCATTAATGACATAAATTTGATAATAAAACGTAAGCTCTCTATTGTGTTATTTAATTTACTAAATTAGACATACATAATGAAGTATGATTTGTATTTCAGAGTAAATTTATATACATATAGAATCTATCATTGGATCTGTAATTTGTCGGATTAAAAGGTATTCTTTTGTAAAAGAATTCCAAATTATAGGGGTCTTAGGCAGTACTCTATAATCCGCCAAATTTGATAGTCTGACACTGCCCTGCAAAATGTTTGTCGTATTACCGGGGATCCACTATATAAAGTGTTGGGACTGTTTTGTTAAATTGAAAGGCGAAAAAGTTTTAGTGAAACTTTTTATATCATTTGGATTTTGGATTTCACAAAAGGTTTTGCGTGTTTTTATGGCCTTATATATATTGGAGACCAAATTCTCCACCCTTTCATTACCATCTATTACAGCTTATAAAAGACCACTGCTGAACATTAGCCTGCCCCATTGATTGCCTTACAGGGGGTATTTCGCCATAGTTAACACGCTTGGCGGGCGGGTTGTCAATCGCAGTTTTTAATTATTTTGAGTTGTTATCAGGAAAATGCTGCTGCCCCTCACCTGTTTCAATTTCCCTTTGTCGCCTTTTATGACACCCACAGGACGATATGGGGTAGTAGTAGTTGAATGTAACTTTTTAAATGATACTGATACTAATATGTTCAGAATATTAAATAAAACACAGAGACAAAATGTTATGATTGAATATTAAAATAAAATAATTTTCACAAAACACTTCTGAAGTTATGGCTGTAATTCTTCCATACTATTTCTCTGCCATAATTGTTTTGTTTCGTTCTGTATAATTATTTGTAGCAAAAAGCAAATTATAGGTTCTCAAATTTGGTATGCTTGTAAGCATTCTGTGTACATTGAAACTATTTAATTTTTCTTTGACCAGGTTCATCCTGATATAATCAATGTCAAAATAAGTACCAGGTAGATTTGTGTTTATGTAGTATTCTCTTGTTCCATTTTTCATTACTTCAATGATTTCCACATGATTGAAATGCCTAACTTTCCCAAGTCTATTCCAACCCTTATGCAATAAGTCAGAGATAAGTTGATGCTGTGGCCCATAGACATCTACATTTATCTTCGATTAAGAATAAAGATGCAGATGCATTGTCACCCCTGAGGACTGAGATTGGATGCCTGGTTTCCAGTATAAAAGGTCTCAGGTTTTCTACACTCACCATACGAAACACAGCAGCATTAAGCTGGTATTCTGTGAGAGCATGGTCCTAACCCAGTCGAGCCATTTGTGTTGCAACCACAATAAAGCTGCAGCATCACTCCACCACGTTGATGGTAAATAGTGATTTAACCTAAGATGGTAAAACGCACTGACTTAATTATTGTTATTGCACATGTGCTAGTCAGACATTCCGACTACTTGGCAGACCTTTTGGTTGTTTTTTTTTAATAGGATTAGGGTGACAAACGAGCACACAGTCCACCTGATGGTAAGAGGTTGCTGTGGACCATAGACATCTACATCAATCCTTGATTAAGAATCAAAATGCAGATGTGTTGTCACCCTTGAGGACTAAGATGGAATGCCTCGATTCCAGTAAAACGGGTCTTCAGTTCTCTACACTCACCATACGAAAAACAGCAACATTAAGCTGCTATTTTACGATGGTACTCTGTGAGAGCGTGGTTCTTACCCGGTTGAGCTGACCCATTCATGCTACAACCATAATATAGCTGAAGCATGGCTCTACCACATATTGCTTTTTTGCTTTGCGGTGTAATATTCTGCACACTGGGCAAGTTTAAGATATAATCACAAGGTAGAAATCTCATTGAAAACTTTAGATCTAACCTAATGTAGGGGATATTAAGTTTTTTCTCCCCGTTTTAAACATAAATATTATTATTATAATCTAATTATAGATAGAAGATATTAGAACAGTCTAGAATGGGCTATCCTCATCTAGACTGATCTGGCACAACCTAAAATGGTAATTTGTTGTAGACGCTAAGGTTGTCAATCGTAATATCAAACGCCTTGTACTTTAGCTGTTCCCTATCACTGCATTTTAATTTTGGGTTTTAAAACATTGGGATGTGAAATCGACCATCTGTTAGAGCAGATACCACAAGAATATACTGGTATGTAGTGTAGTAGTACAATTGTAGTAATAGATAAACATATACAACACCGTATAGTGCTGGTGTGAGAATATCCACTACCCTATATCACCTAGTGGGTGTCGTAGAGTAAAAGCGTGAGAAGCGACGGAGGGAAATTGGAACAGGGGATGGGCAGCAGCATTGCAGGCAGATTGCCTCATAGTCACAGTGTCAACTATGACTATGAGGCAATCTACGGGGCCTGCATGAACATAGCTGATGGATGAAAAAACATACAACAAAAACAAAAAAAAGATCGAACCGTAGTACCCGAGCACCCAGGGGAAGGGGGTTTTGTGAAGAAAAAACGCTAAAACGGACACACCACTTTAAAAAAAAAAGTTGTTGACCCACCCCCCCCAATGCTGGTGGTTCAAAAAACCCAGAAAAAAAAAAATCACATGGATTACCTATAAGCTTGGAATTGCATCTTTCATTTTTGTCACTAGAGTGCGCTGTTGCCTGTAGTCGTTCTGTCAGTCAGCCGTAATAAACTAGACATGTTTTGGGGTCAAGTGCGGACCCTTGATCGTAATGTTAAATGAGGTAATTTCCTATGGACTAGTTGTCTTCTAGCGCAACCTGGCCGCTTTTGATTAACTGTATTATTAGTTCAAAGCCTCTATAATGTTTACAGATATGACTATATTTGTAGAATATATAAACAAGTTTCGTTCTAATAATACCAATTTTTCAACTGTGGTCGCATTTTGGTTTTGATATTATGATAAGAACATACGTTTTATTGTGATATGTTTTTGTTGTTTTTTATTCATAAGTGCATACCATACCTACCTTGAAAATGAATCTTGAAATTTTGAGGGCGTGAATTATCCCTTTGTCGGTGAAACTCACGGACGACCGAGGAAGTGTCAAAATGAAAGTGATGCAATGACTTCATAGTACGCAAATGAATAGATAGCTATACCGAACGCGCGTTCTGTAAAAAAACTAAGTACCTAAGCGCCAAACAACATTTTTGTTTAAGAAAAATTTGTTATGGATTAAAAAAATGGTTTATGAGAATTTAGATATGTTTATTTACTATGCCTGAAAAATAATTCCATGAACTTATTCGTAACATTATTGTGGTGTCACGGAGAAATGTAACTAAATGCTTACTTTGCAATTTTTTCTATTGACAAAATTACATGATATCGTTTTATGAAATCCAAGGTCATAAAGTCAAAAATCGTATATCAAAAATTTGGTTCGTAGGTAATCTATCAAACTTAAAAATATATGTGAAATAGAAAACCA